TATAGAAGTTTTCAAATGTTAAATATGCTTCTATTGAAAGTCATATATATATATATCTAAGATGCAATGATTCAATTATTGTTATTAATAACAATAATCAACTCATAGAAAATATGTACGAGGCAAGAAAAATAAAAGAATAGGTTGATAAAAACTTTCTTTTTTGTGTTGTAACTTTCCTCAGGTAACTTCTTTTTTTTTCTCTTTCCGAGCGACGACAAACTTCGATTGCACATTTACACACATATATATATATATACAGACCGAAATAAGATATAGGCACATAGAAAAAGCAAAATGACGTACTGGTTTTTTTTTCTTGCTGTCTCTCTCTCTCCCTTTTTCTATCTTACTATCAGAGAAATCTTTTTTTTTTGCTCAGAATTTGTGCATTAACGATAGTGACAAAAGCAGCGGTAGTCTTCTATGCTTCTTTGCTAGCGCGCATTCACACAATTCTCTCTAGTCCTTCAGGAAAAGTATGTGATGAAAAAAATACGTATAGAGATAGCAAACAATAGAAGGTTTTCATTGGAGGAACGAGGGGGGGGGGGGCGGAGGGGAAAGTTATGGTGAACGAAGAAAATTTCTCGTCGAACCTACTTTTGCTCGGGTATGAACATATTTTTTATGCGTGCTACAATTATCATCAGAAGAGAGAGAACGAGAAGAAGAATATGCTGTTGACTCGTTCATTTCTCTTTCATTGATTCTCGTGATGATGATGTTCAAGACAGTTCTTCTTTTTTTTTTTTTTTCTATTCGGTTTTTCTCTCTCTCTCTCTTCTTTCCTACATAACACAGAGAAAGAAAAAAGACAGGCAATTTTGTGAAGGACGGCAAGAAGTGTTTGTTGGTGCCACGGTCAGGATTGAACAGCATAATAGTAATGTTCCCTTCTTGTTCTTCTTTTTTTCTTTTTTCTTCTTCTACAAAAACTCCTCCTCTTCGTTCTTCTATTCTTTTTTTTTATCTTATTCTAACCATCATGTTCACAATGGCGTGTATAATACTTCTATGTGCATATTTCCAAGGTTCTCTCTTCTTCATTTGGTCTTGTCTAGCTTACTCATTGGAATGAGTTAAGAAAAAAAAAGAATGGATGAAAAAGAAGAAGCATAGTTGTATAATATATATGTCTATATGAATGAATTTTCTTTTTTGTCTTTGAACATTCAGTTCTTTTCTTCATTCACTTACTGTCTATGTGTATGTATACAAAAGAGAGGGAAAAAAAAAGAAAACTTGAGTCCTAATGAATATTCTTTGTACGAGTCGTTTCTGACATTCTTCTTTTATTCAGAACAAAAACGTTCAACATGAGAAACGCACATAGTGAGATGACAAAAAGCAAGACGCATAAGCAAAAAAAAAAGGCAAATACACGCACACGCACGCACAACACCATCACGGAAATGATGTATTGCACAGAGGGGAAAAAAACCGAGTTATGTTTGTGCGTACAACGAGAAGAAAAAAAAAGAAGAAAAAAGTAGCGGAAAAAAAAGGGAAAAATCTAGCTCAGACTGACTGATTCAATGGTGATGAGAGAATAAAAGCTTCATCAAACCATTTTCGCTTGATTTGATATGAAAAAAAATCTATTATTCACTGATAACTGTTTTATTTCTTCGTATATATATATATATATACGTTAAATCTATCGGAGATTTTTATTATAAAAGAATCTAATCGAGTTTTCTAAGATTAACTTTTAGAAAAGTCAAAACATATTCAATGAATATACTTAATCTCTATCATGAGATATTAATTTTTTTCTTGATTTATTTTCAAAACAAAAAATATTTTAAAAGAGAAAGTTTTTCCTTATCTTTGATATATCCATAAACAATATGCAAGACATCAACATTTGAATATATAAAGAAAACTTTGTTGTTGTTCTTTTTTTTAAGAACTACTTACTAAAGATACAAAAAGAAAATGTCCAATTGCGTTTGCTGATTCGTTTCTTCTGTCAAGGTGATGAGAGAAAGACTATGCATAACAAAAACTCTATGTTGCTTCTTCATTTTTTTTCTCTGTCTATTTATTCAACTAGTCATTTTTGCATACACTATCAGCCACCTCTATGTATACTTGCATGTCACTACCACTTTCTTATTACGAAAGATGACTTAGTTCTGTCTTTATTTCGCACACACAGTAAGAGAATCTTTATCTACATCACACACATCATCAAACGACGTTGTCGTCAATGTATATTTTCTTTTTGCATTGTTGTTGTTCTCTCTCTCTCTCTATGTCGATTCTTACCTGCTTCGATTCGTACAAGAGAGAAAGAGAAATACAACAAGCCAATGCAGCGCGCGGATAAACTTTTTTATACTTTCGAGTATGTATGTGTGTGTGTGTGCTTCCTCTTACGAGTACGCGTTTTTTCTTTACATATTATCAATTTTTCCCTTCTTTACTCCATTTTGTAATAGACAAATGAAAGTAAAAAAAAAAAAAAAAGAATGCATTGAATACATACGTCGTTTTCAAGGACGATGAGGCCAAGCGTCACCAAGAATCGTCGACGACATTTTGCTTGTTCTTGCTTTTTTCTTTTTTTCTATCTGTCTATCTTTTTTCGCCTTTTCTTCTCTCACTGCATGATTCGACTCTGCTTTCTTATATTGTGTCCAAACAGCAGCAACAGCAGGTTTTCGTCCGTTTACTACTATATTGTGTCGTCCCTCTTCTTGTACATAACGCTTAACACATACAATACGATGTCTGTTCTTTCTCGCTCTTCCTTCTTCTCCCTCTCTCTCGTTTTTTTCAAAAAAAAAAAACTAATACTGACTGACTGCTTTTTTCTGTGGGACTTTTTTATGCGTGTGAGTGTGTGTGTGTATATTTCTTTGTTTCGACTGCTGCTGCTTCTATAGCCTCCTTATTCCGATTACAATATGTATATATGTATGCATGTATGCATGTATGTGCGTATGTATGAAAAGAAGAACGAAAGGAGAAATATAATGATGAAAAAGAAAGAAAAAAAAAAAGAAATTGAGAACAACACTTTTATTATGTTTATGATTGTCATTATTATTATTATTACTATTATTAGTCTTGTTAAGTGAACGCAAAAACATAGAGTCGACCATCATCATGTTTTAAAATTAAATCGACATAAAAATTGAAATGATTGTTGAACACTTGAATTTCTATTCATCGATTGAGTATCCTATTTCACAGATAAGGAATCTTAATAATTGATTATAAATTGAAAGAAAAATCAATGATCATAAAAAAAATAACATATCTGCTTTAAATGAATGATGTCGAGTGATAATCAAACTTCGTTTATAAAATTGTTAAAAATTTTGTCGTATTAAATATTACAATTATTTAACTCGGCCAATATGTTAACAGATTAAAGAATGAAATTATATATGATTATTAATTGCAGTTCATACTTATTTCAGTTTGTAGGGTACAAAAAAAGTGGGTTCATTTCATTAGACCCACAAGTGCAAAATGAATTATCACTTTATTTCTAAACATTTATTATTTAGAACATTCTTAATCAATATTATTTAATGAAAAACCATGTCTCCTTGCTCTTTTTTTTTTGTTGCAAAGTTGTCAATGTTAACATAAGTACATGATGAGTAAGTCTTTATTTTATTCAGAAAGAAATTATTGTAACTAAATTCATATTAAAAAAGGAAAAAATTAATTTATTAGATTAAAAATTCATTCGTTCATATATTATATTTTATACATTATAAGAAGAATTCAAGTCAAATTCATCTAAAATATTTTTTCATTAGTCTTCCATATGAAAACTTGAAAACAACTTGTCAAACTTCATCAAAACCATTATTATATTCATTTTTCAATGCTGTTCTTCTACTAATATAAAAGTTATTCACTGTGTTTCATTATCAATTGACTATCGTAGGCAGAAAAAGTGTAATTCTTCAGAGTCAAACCTTCGCGTGGTGTCTTAAATGTAGTAATGGTAACATCTCATGCAGATCTTTGTTCAACAATTTCAAATTTTCCATTACTTCAAATATATGTGGATAAAATCAATCGACATCGTTGTTTATCAAACAAGAATATGAACTATTTCAGGCAAAATTGGGTATACTCACCTTCCATTTGACTTTAATTCTTTACAAGAGTTATCTTTCTGAATAAGTTCTTTTAATATAGACATATGTAAAAATGTTAGTTCTTTCAGCTGACTATTACTTAAAAATTAATTAATGAATATCTCTCTGATCATAGGAGAAAGAAAAACGATGAAACTTTTAGCATGATCGAGCTTCACAAAACAGGTTTTATAGAAATTCTATCAAGTTCTGAAACAAAAATTTATGTCTTATCATCATCTAGTGATTCTAAAGAAAGATTTGTACGATTTTAAATTGATTTTGAATTTTTCATCCGGTTATAAGAATATTTTTTTGTCGTACTCCGGTAGGTTGGTAACGAAAAGTAAATCGTTTTTCTTTGAAAAATCTAGGCATACTCAGAAAAAACCTTCGATAGAGGTTTTGTAGCCTCAGAATTTGTCTATATTTAGTTTTCAAAAATGCTGTCTCAATTCAGAGTTTTGTTTAAAGTGTAAAATGTATGAAGTGAAAGTCAATGTTCTTTTTAACGTTACGTTTTTTTTTACTGATAACTTCTCTGAATAAAGGTCTCTAGCGTTGATTGTTTTTTTTTGGGTGTATCTAAAGTAACTTAATATACATGTAAAATATAAAGTTTAACTTTAGGAAAGTTCATTATTCCGAAATATACATGTTTTAATTTTGTGGAATCACATCACTAAAACCAATGATTTTGTGTATATCTTTATTATGCTCAAGAAATATCTTCTGTTTACAATATACAGCTTGTTTAATATAACAATGAACAAATTATTCGATAAAACCAAAAAATCTGAAAGCTAGATTAAATTATACTAGTCTTTTACGTCTAAGATACTATTATATCAGACAATCTATGCGCAAAATAAAAGATTGATTGATATTTGTCTAAGCTGTTGGTTTACCACCGGTGACTTAAAAGAAAAAGTAATATTTAATAAAGAATAAATAGATTGGCAAAACTTACCCGAAAGAATTTCACTAAAATAAAGATAAAATATATTTGATTTTTTAATGATATTCAAACAATAAATTTAATTATTTACCCAGATATATATGATGAATCAGCTCCACAAGCTAAGAAAACAAATGCTGGTGCTAATTCTCGTGGTTGTGCTGGACGTTTAATTGGATAAGTTGATCCAAATTGTGAATTTTTTTCTTTTGGAAATGATGCAACAACTAATGGTGTCCATACGGGTCCAGGCTAAATTAAAAATTTCATTTAAAAAAAAAAAAAAGAAAAGTTATCAAATAAAATAATTTATTTACTGCAACACAATTAACACGAATTCCTTTTTCTAAAAGTTTACTAGCTAAACCTTTTGTAAAACCAACAATAGCAGCTTTTGTTGTTGCATAATCTAAGATTTCAGCTGATGGATCATAACTAAATACCAATATATTATAGAATACAGATAATAAAAAATTTTAATTTAATTTACGCTTGAATTGAACCAACATTAATAATTGCTCCACCTTTTGGCATATGTGGAACGGCATATCGAACCAAATCAAACACTTGAAATAAATAAAAATTAAATTTTCTCTTTTTTTTTTTTTTGTCTTTTATTATTAAAATTTACTCGAAATAATATTTGTTTTAAATGTATATTCTACTCGTTGATGATCAAGTTCAGCAATATCTTCCTATAAAACAAAAAAAAAAACGATCGTCTAATAAGATTATTTGTTCTTTTCAATCAAAATAACTAACCACTTGTTTGCCTTGATATGCAGCATTATTTACTAATATATCAATTCGTTTAAATTTTGCTACTGCAGTATCAATAAGAGTTTTACATTGTGCTTCCTAATGATATATGAATTAGTCTTTTTTTTTTCTTCTCATCCTGATGGCAGAAAATTAATACTTACTTGACTGATATCACCAGGCTAAAAATAGAAAAATATAAATTAATAAAAAAAAAAACTCAAACTTTAGACTAAATAGATTTCTTTTTTGAATGTAGAGTTTGTTAAAATGTGTTTTTTTTTCTCAGAAAGTAGGGAATTCAACTTTCATTTCCGATATAAGATAAGTTTGATATCCAAAAAAATGTTGAGATATTCACGAAATTTAAATTTTTCTACACAATAAAAGTGGATCATATATAAGAGAGAAAATGCTCTTCATGATGCCAAAAAATCGTTATGATTAACGATGCATTCACGAACATATTTACCGGCTACATAAGAAAAAAAAGAGGAATGAGGTAGACAATTTAGAATTAACACAAGAGTATGAATAATTATCAAGATGCAGCTTTTCTCATCCAACCAAAATATCTACTTAACGTACTAATATTGATTATATGTAGGGGCATGATACTCCCTGCTTCTGAAATTTGCGTACTCATTGCCCCTTCTAACAGCATTCAGCCGCTCTGCGTCGTCTACCTTCAATGCTGATCTACGCCTTTGATTATATAGTACAAAAAAAAACCGCTTCTTGATTATTTTTGTCCCATGTTTCACGCTTGTTCGTACTACCACCGATGTAACGCACATTATACCGAACGCTTCACCGATAGTTTTCGTTCGGTTCGAATCATATAGGTTCATATTTTTGACTTATTTTCAAACCATTTATCATCTCGTTAACTCATGTTGATGTATACCATTAAATCAGCATTTTTGATGGAGTTTATTTTTGTATAAAATTTACTTTATATATAACAAGTCTTGATCGTGTCCTATCTCCTTGAAAACAAGAACATTTCTACACATTCTGTACTTTAAAACTAAATTTTAATGATCTTTTATTCAAAAGACATCAATTTATGTTAATTTTTCTGAGATACTCGAGATAGTCTTAATGGACATTCATTCCAATGTATAAACATGTTATTTGTTTTTGACGAATAAAAATATTCAACATTATTTCAAAACCAAGAAGAGATGGATTAAATAAAACTCGATTCAATTTTACAGTCTATTAGAAGTCTTACCACTAAAATACATTCACGACCAGATTTTTCGACAGCTTTTTGAATTTCTGCAGCATCTTCATGTTCATTTAAATATGAAATAATTATTGTTGCACCTTCACGTGCATATGCTAAAGCAACAGCTCGACCAATACCAGAATCACCACCTTAATAAGAAACATACAATATTCATTTGAAAATAATTATTAATCTTACCAGTAATTACTGCAATTTTATCTAAAAGTTTACCCGAACCTTTATAACTATCCACACCATAATCCGGTATTGGATCCATTTTATATTCATAACCGGGTGAATCTTGTTCTTGAGGTTTAAATTTTGGCTGCGGACCAGCCTGAAATAATAAGATTCATAAAATTAATAAAAATCATCAAAATCTAACCTTCTTTGGATCACCATAAAGATCGTATTTAGACATATTAGCAATACGTGTCAGTAAGAATTTTTTAAGAATAGAATGAAACTGAATAGCATTCTGTACTATTTGTATGCTCTCGATAGCCGATCTCGTGTCGCGTACACGTGACCAAATAAAATGTGGCGACAATAATTCAAACTCATGTTGTGATTGGTCCTCGTAACAAATCAATAAAATTGTGTTGAACGTTAGTAAATGAAACACAGACGTCTGTCTATTATTGCACCATCATAGTGTAACACATTCCAATCTGCCTATTACGCGAATATAATAGTCGTATTCGATTATTTCTCTTTGCCATAACTGCTGTTATCAGCATCTTTCTTTCAGAATGGCCAACTATCAACTTTATCGTAATACAACATTAGGTGTTACATTACAGGACACCCTGGAAGAAATGATTTCGGTATATATATATTTATTTTTAATATATACATATTTATATTCTTTAATAATAGCAAGGTGCATTGACTGATCAAGCAGCTGGTAAAGTTTTAAGTGAATTCGATCGATCAATTAATTTAGCACTTGATAAACGAATTAATAAAAAAATTCAATTTTCAGTAAAATGAAGAATTAAATTTTAATAACAAAAAGAAAAAAAAAACAAAATCCTTTTTTTTTCTTCTAGGGAAAATTAAGCACATATCGTTTTTGTGACAATGTTTGGACACTTGTATTAAAAGATTTTAGTGTTAAAGATCCTAATCAAAGTCAACATAATACAACAGCTCCTACTTCACAAATACCTCCTGCCGATAAAGTTAAAATTGTAGCATGCGATGGAAAAAGTCTGTTTTCTATTTGAATGAAAAAAAAATCAATCTCACTATGTTCTATTTTTAGGTGCTACACAAGCGTAAAACAATTTCTTTAATACTATCTTTGATGTTTACTTGACCTTTTTTTTTTTTGTATATTAATACTCATCGAAGTTTTCTTTTTTTTTTGGGTACTAAAAACAATTCAGAATGAATTTTGTCATCTTTCAGATGTCAGAATATAGTGATATTGCTGGAAGCGAAGATGTGATCTCACTTACTTGTGAAAGTCAAGAAACACTCAAGTATTTGTTTAGTTTTTTTTTGTATTTTGTTTAATTATTATTGAGTTTTTCTAGTGAACATTCATATCGAACTAAACAATTAGCAAATCGTACTGATAAAAGTACGCCTATGAAAGGTTATCAAAAAAATTTTACTTTTCATAAAAAATTTTAATATATGATTTTATTATTTATAGGTCAAGCAAAAGAAAATCAAAAACCAATTGAACAGGTTAGATTAATGAAAAAAAAAAAGAAAGGTTCTATCAAAAAGATTCGAAACGATTGTGTATTTTTACTAGTGTTGAAAAATCATGAGATAGATTTTAATAGAAATTTTCTATGAAATAGTATAATTATTGTTGATGAGCAACTATATTTATCATTGCTACGATTTTCAAGGATTTGTTAAGGCTTCTCGCTGAAAACTGGATCTCAGACGAGATGCATTCAAATTCGATGAAATTTTCAGCCTTATATCATGACGTTTTCAGTAGAAGTGCTTTTTTTGTACAACAATAAAAAATTGAATTCAAAAAACATGTAGCACTACAGCTTCACATGCTTTTTCGACAACAAAAACGTAGCAATTGGGCAAAAAACTCGATTTTTTTGACGACAATTGACTTTTTTTTTGAGGAGGGCCTTAACATCACAAACTACATAAAGCAAAAACATATTTTTCACAAGTCATTCTAATTCTTATAAGTTTAATTAGCAACGAATGATAAAATATCTTTTAGGAATTTTAATATTGAAATACAATTCTTTCTTTTACATATAAATTTTGTTCTTTTAAGACATTGAGAATAATATACTAGTTTGAATGGTATCTTTTCAAATAGTCATATGGAATAAGACATGAATGATTTATTCAAGAACAAATAAAAATGAAGTATATTTTTATTTTTATTAAAGGTTAATAATGAAGAGGTTGATGGTATGCAAACAGACGCTCAAAATCGTCCAATTTCAACAGTTAACAATGGAGTATCAACTGAACAACCAACATCTTCGATTGATACTCAGAATACCTTAATACCGGATAATGTAGGATAATAAAACAATCATTCATATTTCATAAATTTGTTTCTTTTTTTCACATTTTAGCCATTTATTATTCGACCACCGTTGGCTCAATCAACATTAACTGATGAAAGTGGTATTTCAACTGAAAAAGGTAGTGCATAATAATCTTACGACAGAAAGTCCTACAACTAATTAATCGTTTTGAAGTTAAGACTATATGCATCATGTAGACCTAAATGATCTATGTATACCCTAAAAGCTGTTCATTTTCCTTAGCTTATTGCTACTAAGATGCTGCATTTTTGACGGTATTTTTTAAGTCAATGCTGTGATTACCCTTAGGGACGCAATCAAATTGTGAAAGTTTCAGGTCTTTTGAGTAGCTTGTTGTTTGAAATAAGAAAAATGAAATCTGCTGGTTTATATGAGCTTTTATCATATCTGTATCTTAGAATTGGAACAATGAAATGATCTGAAACTTTTGCAATAAACTATTCTCAACGAGACTAGTCTCTATGAAATATTTCAAGTCGAAATTCGAAAATGATTTTTCTTGAGAGGGAGCATGGCATTGAATTAAAAAATACTGTAAACATACAATATCTCGGCAGCAATAAGCTAATAGCCCGACCTCTTTTCAGTGTATTCATCACTCATTAGAGTCTATATGACACACATAGTCTCGACTCAAAAGCAATTTATCAGTTGAGAGATTCTCTTCGTTAGTATTTTTTTAAATACTTTATTCAACTGATGAATATAGATGTACCATCAGAAAAATCATCGGTAGACGGACAGGTATTATTTTGTTTGCAATAATGAATTATGAATATATATGTATAATTGTCTTAATAGAAACCTACTGTAATTGATTCGGCATCAAAAACAAAATCAGTTTGTATTCATGTAAAAAAAAAAGAAACAGTTTAAGATATGTTTTTTTCTTTCGATTAAGGATTCGAATGTATCTGGACTTGATGCGTCAACTATAACAAATAGTAAGAATTATTAATATTTCAAAAATTTGATTTAATTATTTCTTTAGATTTACGACTTTATATTTCACCATCAACTAGTCTTCTTGAAACAACGAATGATGATGCACAGTAAGAAATTATTTTATTTATCTAATTTATTTCATTAATTAATTATAGACCGAATTCTGTCAATATATCAACAACAGAAATCGAAGAAAAAAATCAACTAATAGGTTCTATATAAATTTATACAAAATCTAATAAACTAATAATGATATATATGCCATTTACAGAATTCGATAATAAGCCAAAAGATGAACCAATGGATACAAGTGATGCACAAGCTTCATTAGGTAGTGATGGTATTATTGATTCACAACCTACTTCTGCACTTATTATTGAATCTACTTCAGTTACTGAAAAATCTACAAAGGTTCAATCACCTAATCAAAGCAAAGCCATTGTGAGTGTATTATTTTTCTTTTGTACGGATACAGTGACTCCCAGAATTCATCATTTTTGATTCAACAACGTCAATAGTAAGAAAAGCACAAAAGTAATTTTTTTTTTCGTAATTTCCTACGGGAAAAAAAGAACTTTTGTAATGTTGCTTAAAATTGATGTAGCTCAATTAATAAATGTCGTAGAGAGTTTGGGGACATGTGATTTTCTAGAGAATAAGTTGCTCTATCAAACGAAACTTTTATTTTAGGATTTTGATTGCTGAAAAACTAGCTTTGGGGAATACTGTAAAGGATTTCATTTCCTGTACATGTTTGTTGAAAACAAATTTCTCTACCCGGATTATTACAGAAAAAAAAAGAAATAAAATTTTGTATGATCAATTTTTGGAATCACTATATTTATAAATAAAAAACTTTAGATATCACCTGCTTCAAAAGCTTTGTATTCATTGAGTCAACCGGCAACAAATAAATTTGAAAGTATTCTTGCTAAATTAGTTGCTTCACCAGGACGACAAACAACTTCAACACATGAAAATGAAAATGAATCAAATATAACAATTGTAAGAAGTATTTGGTTTTGAATATTGTTTTTTTTTTAAATGAATCTATAAAATCTATTTAGCGGGAAGAAGAAGAATTATTTATTAAAGAATATATATCAAAAGTAGCACGTCGTTATGCTGTTAAAGTTGATCAAAATGGACGAATTATATCACGTGAACTTCTTATTGAAGTAAGGTTTTTGCTTTTCAAATATTTTTCCTTAAACAATGAAGAAAATATTTTATTTTTTTCTTTTTCTTTTTATTTTTGAATAGCGTACTGTTGAAGAAAACACAACTACTCGTATAGAATCATGGCCACCAGAAGAAAAAAAGAATCGTCGTTCAACTACTAAAACTTCTCGAACTACGGAAACTAGTCGAAAAAAACCAACAAAATCAAATGTACCAAAACGAAAGACGAAAAGTTTGTAAGTATTAAAAGAACTTTCCGATGATCGTCAATTCTCAAGTAGAATCATCTTTTAAATTGTTACGCTTCGGATAGAATAGTTCAGATGAATAGAATTGCAAATGACTTGTGCAATGTCTAAGATCATGACAAGCACAAATTGCGTGAGATCTATTTGTCGATTAATGTCCTGAGTGGTTACAACTTTTCACTACCGAAGCTAATCAATATTTGCCAGATACTTTCGTAAAAAGAAAACAGAGATCATCTCAAATATATCACTTTCCATTTCTGTAACATGTTCTCATGTACAATAAATTACTCGAATTGGTTTTCACTTCTATATTTTTCTATAAATTAGCAGCTTGAAAAAGTAAAAATACTTTGAAAATGTCGAGATCTCATTAATCGCTGAATCGAGTACAAGTATGAGCTCAGAATACACGGCGTAGATCTGTTAATATGTCATTGAATCTGTACCTGAGATATGCATCAAATGATCCTTGAATAATCATTGACTATTTCATTTTGTTTTTCAGAAAACCAACTTCAAATGTTGTTTCTCCTAGACGATCAAAAACTGCTCAAAGGTAAATTAAACATCTGATCTAATTGTCTTGAACTTATTTAGTTTTATTAGTGATGATGATGAAGTATCAAAAACAAATACAAATGATGATTCTACTGATGACGACGATGATGATGATGATGATGATGATGACGATACACCAACAGATGATGTTAGTGGTGATGAATTTATACCAACATCAAAATATTCTACTGGAAAATCATTAACAAAAGGTTCACGAGTTTTTGCTAAATGGGTTGATGGGCATTTTTATCCCGGTATTATTGGAAATAGTAATGGTGAAAAGTAAATTACAAAAAAAAAAAAAAACAATATTTTTTTTCTAACACTGAAGTTAATTTCTTTGCTTATAGATATATGATTGATTTTGATGATGGTGCTAAACGTTATGTTAAAGCAAATGAAATAATATCTCAAAGTTATTTAGAAGCTGATCAAAATGTTTTAGCACAAACTCAAGATGGATATTTTGATAATGGAATTATAAAACGTTTAATTAAAAAGAAAAAAACTGGAAAATTAGGTTATGTTGTTGAAAAAGATGGAAAAGAAAAATGGTATCCATTACGTTTTATTTCATTAACTCATGAACAAGCTGAACATTTACCAATAGTTAATAATAATAATAATAATAATAATAATACCGAAGGTAATTCATTTTCTAGATTAATCATTTGAATAAATAATTTTGTCTTTTGTTTTTGTTTTTTAGTATCAACAAATATTGTTCAAGGAAAACGTAAACGAACATTAACAGTACCTCAATCACCAAATAAAAAAACTAAAAGTTCAATTTTTCCATCACCAAATAAAAATCAACGAACGAGTAAGATAATTGATTCATAGTTATATTTGACTTTTCTTTTTCTAAAATCAATTCTAGCATATACACCAACACGTCAAACAAAATTATTTAATACGATGTATTTTCTTCTTACGGGTTTCAATGGTAGAATATCGTTATATTTCTTCGTTGTTTTTTTTTTTGTATTGAAAAGTTTTCTTTTTAGATTCAATAGATATGCGACATAAAGTTCAAGATTCAATTGAAAGTCATGGTGGAAGAGTAATTGAAAAAATGCCAGCTGCTGTATGAATAAAACATTAATCATATCTATAATTTTGTTTTCATACTGTTTTTGTTTCTATTAGAATCGACGTGATAATGTTTATTTAATATCTGATGTAGCACGTAAAACAGCAAAATTTCTCGATGCAAAAAAATTAAATATTCCTTGTGTAAATTATGAATGGATTAATGAATCTATTGAAAAAGTAAAAAAAAAAAAAAACAAGATTTGAATGAATATTATAATGATTAAAAAATTAATAATAATAATTTTTTTGCTTTAGGGTGAAATTCAAGATTGGGAGACACATAAATTAGTTTTACTTGAAAAAGAAACGAAAACAAATAATGATAACATCGATGAAGATCAAGAAGATTAGTAATATATACTATGTCAGATCTATTTTATTTGTTGTGCAGATAGATACAAATTAGTTATATATTCTCTTTATATTTTTCTGTATGTTGTAACATATTCGTTAGGATATGAAGTTAAAATAAATGATAGAATATACTTAATAATTAATTTTGATTATATATTTAAAAAAGGGTATTCTTGAAAATCGTTTTGTTTTATATATCTACTCTCCAAACATTGCTCTTTCAAACAAAAAAAAATGTTGAAGTCAATCTGATGTTACATTGTTGATAAAATAGATTTCGATATTCTTTCAAAGACTTTTGCATGGTTTATTAATTAAAAGAAAATTTTCTTTGTGATTATCATCTTTGAAAGGACTCTTATAAACAGTACGCATTCTTATTGTGTATTTTATCATTGTTTTTGTTATTTCTAATAAAACTTTTATTATCTGATAAAGTTTGATAGAGGAATGTTCTAAATGACTTCATAAAAAAAAAGTCATGTACAATTGAAATATTATTATGTAAGAAAATTAATTTAAATAGAAATTTTTCTTTACTTTTATTATTAATTTAATTATGAGTGGTTTAAGAAAATCATTACCTATACATAAACCGATAACAACAATAGATCAAAATCTTGAAGATGAAGACGATGAAAAATTATTTGTTATATCAAAATATAGAAAAATGACTCCACCAATAGTATTAACTAAATGTCCATTAACGGACGATTATGATGCGCAAGAAACAATCATACCAAAAAAAAACAGACAAAAGAAAAAAATCATCAACAACTACAAAAAACATCACTATATTTTAGCAAAAAATCAACAACAAAGAAAGCTACTGCAAAATCAAGAGGTAAAAGACTGAGAAACACAAATAATCTAAGTAATGATAAAAATGCAACATTGTTTAATAGTACTTATAGTCTAACGATAAAAACTATGGTTAATAATGAAGTTGAAGTAAAATTAACAAGTGATGAAGTTACTGAAATTCAAGGAAAACGAAAAAAAAATCTGAATTCTAAAGAGCATTAATTAGAACTTCAATTAAAACGTGTATTTAAAAAAAATTTTTACAGAACCATAAACATCATATTGTTTGTAATCTTGACCATGGTTTTTGATTTAATAAAAGCGTATATAAATAATCAAGAATTACGTTCGCTTATGTTTTCATGATTGGACGAATCAATAATAAAAATACTTATTTAAAATAGTAAAACAACAAATATAAATGATATGCATCAACTTGTCAAAAGTATTTTAGTGAAATTATTATTCTTATTCATCAATCATCTATTAATGAAGAAGAAAATCAACCAATAACGATGAAAAAATTATTTCAAGCTATGATTGAACAGCTTACAAATACTTTATCACCAATACAAGTTAATCTTATTCTTTGCCTATCGAATAGTCTAGCCATGAAAAGGGTGATCAATAGCAGTTGGAACACATTTATATTCTTTTTTTGCAACGATATTTTGATCAATAAAACAAAATGTGGCAGAATGGTTAGTTTCAAGCAGTTACTTCCAATCAAATACGATGCCAAACTATCTCAGTAATAATTGACACCTAAAAATCTTTCGCAAAGCTTTCAATTACACTGTCAATTATTAGCATTTTTCTGTTTATTTTGTATACAAATATATATATATATATATAATGATTAAAACAATTCATTAAATTTCAATTCTATCAAAATCACTGTTTTCTTGAATCCAATCAATATAATTTGATACTCGTGTATAAATGCCCGGTTTCATTGGACTAGCACATTGTTCACCATAAGAAACAATACCATCAATACTATAATATAATATATTTGATAAATTTCGTTGAATATATAAGCCACCACCACTATCACCTTGACATGTATCACGTTCTCCATTCAAATCACCACAACATATTTGTGTATTCCAATTTTTTTTTGTTGATGGTGCAACATTAATACAAAATTCGTTGGGATATATAGTTAGATTAACTTGTCTAAGAATAGATGAGCCTGAAAAAAAAAGAATCAAGGAATATAAACATTAATGGATATTTTTCTTTTTTTTTTCCGACAACTTTCACCTTTATTTGCACCTGGAAAAGTATCACCAAAACCAACAACAATACCTATTGTATTTATTTCAGATAATAAATAAGGTAAACAAGCAAATTGAACTTTAGGTGATGGTCGTAGATAGTCTTCAAGTTTAAGAATTGCAATATCATTAAGTAAATGTCTATCATTATAAAATGGATGCTTAGAAAAAGAATTATATAGATATATTATTATCAATATATTTGTTAATTTTTATTTTATCTCACTAGAATTACTTGAAGAACTTTTACAATACGTCGTTCAGTTGCTTTTCGTCGATCATATAAACCTACACTAACTTCTAACGTCTAAATAAAAATTGAACATATAAATATTGTCTAATGAATAAACCTACACTTTCGATATTTGAATAATATTTATTCCAGACAATAGAAACTGCAAATGTTTTATAATCGAATCTAAAAGATAAGATTTTTAACCATTGAAAAGTTTCAGTTTAATATCATGTAATCTGTATAATGTTTATAAAGATATTTTCATAGAATATTCAATCGTTTAGTCTGCATCTATTTCTTCAATGGTGAAAGAATTCTTCTAACTAAATCTTTCTAGAAAAATTCTTGGAGATTCCGAATAGAATTCCTCAGAGATCTGCAAGGACTTCATAAAAATTTGGGAATGAACTCAGGAGAAATACGTAAAAATAGTAAGAAGTCCTTAAATATCTTATGGATACTATAATTGACTCCTATATTCGTTGGTATAGTAATTTGAAGTTTCTTTGCATTCTTATAAATTGGAATTTATCTGATGGACAAAAAAAAAGAATTTTAGTTTTTCCAAGAATTCGTTCCGCCAGAGTCTCTGCCAATGCTTTATCTTAGTAGAATAGTGAGTGACTCGTTTTAAAAGTTAGTTCATGTCAAAATAATGACTAGATATTCGAAAAGTGCAAGCAGAAAAAGGAAATATCCTGGACAAAGAAAATTCTATCTTATGAATCTTCGCTGTCTAATATAATTCTACAGTCGCAAAGCTGAACAATGAATAAGCTGTTACATTCCTTTATAAATTTCTTGGATAATGATTAAGGGAACTTACGTATCACCGGCTGTTTTCAAACAATGCGCCTAAAAAATAGTTATTTTATAGTTTTCAAACGATTCACATATTAGAACAGACCGCAGTTAAAATTGTCTTATGATTAATTAATGTTCCTCCACACATCCACGATGCTGAAATCTAAATAATATAAAAACAGATATAGATATTTGTTTTTTGAAATTTCGATTTATAAATTATTACTAAACAAGATCTATTATTTAGTGTAACTATTCTCTTATATTGTTGTCGAATAAGAACAGCAAACGGCCAACTATATTCACTAGCTTCTACTCCACCAATAATACGAGCATTCGGTCGAGTATACGTTATTCCACATTCTGCAAAAACAAAAAAATAAAAAATAATTAATACATCTTGTAGTTGAATTGGAAAACTATTATTGAATTACCATCACAAACTGTTCGACCATTACCAGCAGTATTAGAATCACAAATACATTGTCCTTTGAATAGTGATCGATTGATGCATCCTGTCGCTCGTAAATGACATTTTATAAAGAGACATGGTTCTAAGAAAATATTGAAATTGATTAAAAAAAAATATTTTATTATTAATAATCAAAAAAAAAACACAATTAAATAGATCATATTGAAATATATAATAATTAAACTATCACATCATCGATAAATATTTGTTAACTTTACTTTACTATTAAGTTGTGATAATTAGTTAATAACATACTTATACTAGCAAGTACAATCAATATTATGGTTGTTACAAGTAATATTGTAAAAATAACAAATATAACAATAATAAATCGTCTCTTACTTCAATAAAAACAAACAAGATTCTTAAGTATTTTATTAAATTTTTCTTTTACTTTGAACAATGATCGCAGATAGATGATGAATGTGATATATTGAACATTTGATTCTAAAATAGATAAGAAACAATCTATTATCTTTTGTAAATTTTTCTTTATTTATTTACATTCATTTCATTGACATAAAAATTTCGAATGTGTGAATGGAAAAAAAAATAATATACATTACAATCTCATCATTCACTTGTTGATATAATATTGAACAAAATTAAGCTTACGATCGTTGTAGAAGAAACAAAGATAAGTGCTGTGCGACGACATTCAAATCAAGGATATAATGACGACAAAGACATGAGGAAAAAATGAATAAAGAATATGAGAAAAGGAGAAGAAAAAAAAGAAACTCATAATGTCTTTAGTAAATTGTCTCACACTCATAACGGGCTTCCTTTTTATTTCTTTGAAAAACGATTCAAGTAGAATTGTTCGTAGTAATGTATATTTATTATATATACGTTCATTGATAGGTAAAGTTAATGATTGTCCTTCGTCGTTCAGTCAAACGAATATGAATGAATATCATTATATGGACATTTGTCATTACGCAGAATAAGTACTTCAATCTTCAACTTTTTATAAATGAGAATCAGTCAATTTTTAATGATTAATGATGTTAAAAAATGTCTGTTTTCTAAAAGAATTTAATTATCATTAATAAACTGTCTTTGCAAAACTTGAAGATATTGTGCTATCATGTAAAAATCAAACATAGATTAAAATAGATGTTTAGGTGGTGATCAAATTTCATTATTGTTTTGAACTATTTATATTTTAAAAGTGACAAAATCTCATCAAATCTAAGAGTAATTGTACGCCTCCATTATGTTATATATTTTTGTTGACAATTCTACAAAAGAAAAGTCTCATATGATAGTAAATGAGATTGAAATGTATTATTTCTCAAATAATAATACTAATAATACTAATAAAAAGAAAAGATAACCTTTTCGATGATGTTACTATATACTATACACAAAAAGTATTTATCTAATCGAACCAAGTAACGAAGAAATCTGTGCATTTCATTTTTCTTTTTTGTTAATAATCATTCATCATCAGTGCTAGTCAATTTTATTATACTTGTCGCAATGATGATCTAACAAAAGTTAAAACTTTAATATCATCAATGATTACATAAAAAATCAATCATATATAGAATCAAATGTTACTATTGCTACTTATGTTACAGAATTTTTTGGTTATATCGGTATAGTTTATCTTCTTGAACAAGATGATCAGTAGTTTATCCAGATGGTCTCTTCCAGAAGGGTGAACAGCTATTTTTGGGAACATACACTTATAGTACGGGGTATAATAATTATAATCCCAAACTCCAGAAGAGTGCTGCCCTCAACGATAAACGTAATCAGTAGAATAGATTCGAAAAACTACGCTTGCGCGAAGAAAAAGCACTGGACATCATTCAGTTCTTTGAAAAGACTATCATTTTCCCATGCAGTAATAGTGGCAAGATCGCTTGCATGCTTTTGAACTATTTCTTACTACCTTAAATTTTATTTTTGTGATCAACGTCTACCAAGTTTGTTTTATGTGATTCACAAACAAAAAATACTTACGAGGAAACATTCTCAAGTGATTCGGTCCGTTTGTTCTCATATTTTACTAATATGTAGGAGATCACTGGAATAGCGTAACGTCTAAAAGTTTTCTGATCATGCTTAGATTTGGTAGAGGTAACGACTTTTTAGTAGATTCGTCCTGCAGAAGTCCAATTTTCGAAAAAAATTATATTTGGGAATTTCGATCCGAAACTTTGTACACATGTCTGTCTCGATTAGACTATTTCATATACAGAGTTTCATCAGTCTTGGATATCTCATAGTCAAGATATGGACTTCTCAACATATCCACGCTTATCATCAATTGCTGTCAAAGATAGAAATATATTGAGAAAGCCATGTCTTGGTCATGAGATGACCAAAAGTGATGAAACTTTGTATTGAAATAGTCTAATCAAGACCTTTATGTCTACAAAGTTTCAGATCGAAATTCATACATATATTGTTTTTTCAAAAAAACTAGATTCCTTTAAAATGAATCTACTAAAAAGTCGCTACCGTGACCAAATCTAAGCAAGAGCAGGAAATCTTTAGAGGTCACACTATTCTAGTAGTCTCCTACAGACCGGTAAAATATGAAGACAAACAGAGCGGACCATTTGGGAATGCTTTCTCGCCACTGCTGAATGATTGCACAATAATACATTCGACCTAATGAAATCCATCAGTGTGTTCCACTATATTTTAACAAAGAACTTAATAGAAAAACACTTTCTTTGCCTTTTTTCTTAGGTAGGAGGTTACACGTAATGTGTCATCTGCTCTGTCTTCGCTATTGGAATTTGATTCTGTTTTATTTCATGCTTGTAAATTGACGTCATCATCAGTAATTTCGTCCTCAGCACTTGACGATTCAAATTCCATCTAGGCAAAATCATTGTCTAAACCATTCATTACACTCAGTGAGTTATCATTGTCGCTGTCTTCTACATTAGTTTCATCAATCGGCATATAATTCATAGCAAAATTTATCTGAAAAGCAACGCAAATATACGTATCTCAACATCATAAAATGAGTTTATATCGCTTGAAACGCATCAATGGCACACATTTCGAATTGGAGTCAGATAATCTGAAGAAATTGCATAGTAGATTATAATAAAATTAGAATATGATAGAGAGTATTGTAGGGATAGTCGAATAGTCACCACTTTTTCTTTCGATTTTCTTTCTTCTTCTTTCCTTTTTTTAAAGAAAAACAGTTGTTTTTAGACACACAAGAGAATAGAGTCAAAGAGATAATAAAGAAAAGAAAACAAGAGATAAAGTAATCGGAATTTCGCCTATTCTATTTCATTCCAACTGCGCAATACGCCAGAGAAAGAGAACAACAAAATTGATAGATCATACAGTTCGTCGAGAAAGGGAACTGTCCATGTGCTGTAACAAACAGAAAAGAAAATCCAACGAGCCAGCACAGAGTAAAAAGGCAAACGAGCGCATTTGTCGAAAGAAAAATGCACACGAAAATGAACCTGTTACAGCTACTCTCTAATAAAATCGAATCAGATCGAATATAATACTAAGCACATATTGTAAAAAGCGATTGATTCTTATAGTTCAACATATTTTCTGTATACTAATATGTCTATCCAAGTTTTTATGAGGATCTAATCAAATCATCAGAAAACTTTAACTGAGTGACGGAAGAGGAAAGAGACAATTCTTTCGGGTTCCGTACTTTCATCCGATTGTTAGCCAGTGATGAAGCCAGTTTTTCTCTATATCGATAGATTAACATTACATATCGTGGTTTAGCTTAGTGCACATTAAATAAGATTGACACATGAACAAAACGTTTTTATTTCTAATTAGAGATCGTAAATGAAATAAACATTTTACATCAAAATATTACTGTAGTCATCGAATAAAATCATTGTTCTTTTGTCTTACATATATAAAATGCGCCTTGATAAAAAGAATAAAAAGTTTTATTTTCAAAAAATTTCATGATACAATATCACGTACATACAAGTTTTCTGTTATTTTTTAACTATTTTGTAAAATGAAAAACTGTTCCATTTCGTTATATACTTAACAAATAATAATTAAATTCTATTTTTAATTGCATCAAAGATCAATGTTGCCATACGATCATATCCAGCAGCTGTCAAATGAATAGTATCATCCCAAATTTGTTCTCGTTCTTTATTGTCGTCTACAGAATGATAAGGTATACCTTTGTCAAGATCCACTAGATACACTCGATTTTGATCATTAGCATTAGCCACATAATCTCGAATCATTCTATTCAATTCTTGTCTATTTTTATCTCTAGCATGTGTTGGTGAATCATGTGCATTTTCAATAACAGTCATTGCTACCAACTTAGCTTTTGATTGTACACGATTAAGACACATCTCATACATTGGCTCTAAACCTTTCTTAAAAATATCTTCAGCCGATGAACTCGAACCCAAATCATTGGTACCACCCAGTATAATAATCCAGTCGTAGGATACATTGTTTTCAAGCAGCCTACGAAGTCTTTTAACCATGCTAGGTACAACCCGTTCACCACTTACACCTTGTTGATGTATCTTTACAGGAATGTTGGCTGAGTCGAACAAATTTGTTAGATGTGTTGCATATGGATGAAAAGCTAGACCATAACGATAATAGCCTTCTGTAAGAGAATCACCAAAAGCAAGAATATGTAGTGGTTGTTGTTGTTGTTGTTGTTGTTGTCCGTTTTTCGAAAGCATTACAAGTAAAACGATACACGTGAATAAAAGACCAATACAAATGTATGCTTGATAATGTTGCATTCTGGCTCTTGCACAACCATAAATAAATGAAAGCAACGTGTGTCATTTCCTAATGATTCACATTGAAAACACTCTTTCTTTCTTTCGTTCTTTCTTTCTTTTTTTCTTTCTGTCATAGCTTTGACAGAGAAGGGTACATATATACTTTATGTTTTGAAGGTAGTGTAATCGATTGATACGATTCTTTATTATTATATTACCTGTCGTACCAATCGAATCCATTCATTAGTTAAATTCAAGACATTTCAATGACTGTAAAACCAATATAATTGAGAGACCCACAGAGTAGTATAAAAGTTCGCCTTCTTTCTCCACCGATTCATTAAATATATGCTCAGGCTAATCGAAAAAGTGTTTTGAAAAGCGAAGTTTCAGCAAATATTTCAAGCACTCCGGTTAAATAACTACATTTATAAACGACCGTATTCCAAATAATACAGGAATTTACATGGCTTAGCTTTACAATCGTATATCTCGGTGTTGTACACGAAGGAATATGATGAATTACGAAAACAAAAAATGTTCGATTAATGTCTTCGTGCATGGTGTCAGTTTTGCTTTTTATTTTTCCATATATGATGAGTCGTTATGGTCTGGTCTTCTATTCAGATCTACAGCTAGTATTAATTGTCGAGAAGATGTCAGGCTATTGAATCTACTACTAGACAGCAGTCCATACCGAAGAGTAGTCGAAAGGTAGGGATATTCTTCCTTTCTTCTATATATGATACTATTGCTTTGTATGTAGTAACAGATATATACGATCGTAATTGTGAACCAAATGAACTGCCAAAAGATCGTCTTATATGACTTAACACAATTGTTTACGAGCATATGCAAACTCCATACTGTTCTTCCTAAATATGCGTCGCAATCGCTATTTTATTTTCATACAATCAAATGGCGTAAATAATATACTAATTCAAAAACCAAAAAATGAGACTACTGATAATCATTCATTTTTATAAATTTAGCTGTATTCTTAAAAAAAGGACAGTATCATCAGTAAGTGATGAAAAACTGTCAAGTCTTATGGTACCATTCTTTCTTTACTATGAAGAAGACGGAGTGGCGTGACGTCGCTGACTTGCAAATATCAAGGTCTAATTTAAGCATCAATATGTTTTTTAACAACTGTTCACATCACTTATAAAAATATCAATATAATCTTAATTTTTTCCTGAACAGGTTAAGAATTGTCATTTCTCAATTGAAGCGAATTAAGTTCAGTCTAGTTTATAATACAAAATTTTATTGTAAATCTGGAACACATAATTTCTTTGTAGATGCCACTAGTATACAATAAAACAGTGTCTACTTGATTATAAATCGATCTTGATCTCTCCAATGTATTCTTACTCAATTATTTTGCAAGTTACTGCTCTTCTGCTTATCGTTCTTTCGTCATAATCTGTCGAAATTTTATGATAAGTCTATATCCAAACATTCATTTTTTTTTTTATAAATCTCTTCTGTGATATCTGACAAGTACGAATAATGGCTGACAAAGTTGCTCGCCATTCCCAATATAATCATAAATCTGTAAGTTTACAATTTTAATTATACTTTAAGCAATATCTTAGACCTTTTCTTTAAACAGAATTCAAATCTAGGCTTGCCAACGAATTCATCATCGAATGATCAACATGAACGTAATAAATCTACTGGTGAAGTACAATCAATTGTTGAAGATATAAAAGATTTTCGAATGGGTGATCGAGTACAACACACACGACCAGCATCTATTAATAAGTTCGTTATTTCATATTTATTTATTTATTTTCTTATTTTATATGTTTTATTTATTTAGAAAACAAAAGAAAGATGAAGATCATTCATCGATCTATGATATAACTCGATTTAAAGGACAAACATTACTTAGTGATTTAACAGATGATACATCTAATATTTTATATCAACCAAAAACTTATGAAACAAAACAAATATATGAAACTTTACTTAATTTTATTCAAGAAACTATTGGTGATCAGGTTTGTTTTCTTTTTTTCTTTTCAACAAAAAAACATTTTTTCATTCGATTTCTTATTTTAATTTAGACACAAACTATTTTACGTAGTGCTGCTGATGAAATATTAAGTTTACTTAAAGATAATAAATTAAATAATCAAGATCGTAAAAATAAAATTGAAACATTATTAAAACCAGGCATGTCTGATGAACGTTTTAATTTTCTTATTAATCTTAGTAAAAAAATTACCGATTGGTCGTTCGACATTGAAAGTAAGTGGAGAACAAAAAAGAAAAAGGAATGTAATCAATAATCAATATTCTATTTTTTTAGATGATACAATCGATGAAACAATTGGTGTTCCTATTCAATTTGAAGGTTCAAGCGATGATGATGATGACAACGAAGATGAAATTTCCGATGTTGGAGAAATTCCAATGGATGAAAATATTCAAGAAACAAGTTATTGCATAAGAGTAATTTATTATTTTGTTTTTTTGTTTTACAGTAGTTGCAAGAAGTCAATCCTTTTGCCTAATATTTTGACTACACATAGAGTTCGGTAAATTCTGATTACAAATAGCAACTCGAAGTCGATAGGTCTTAATGAAAAGGATTTACAATGACACCATTGTTTCTTTCCCTAGGGTGCAAAAAAAGATTTTTTTCTAGACACTTTCTAATTTTCCGCTATTTAAATGTACTAACCTCTATAAGATTCGCATGTCTATATTGTGTCACAAGTAAAGTACTTCAATCCGCTGTAATCTTGAAGCGTGGGAAAGTCTCCATTGTCTGTAACAGTCTCAGCATGGATCTCTTCTTCATTGACGATTGCAATCGTGAAATACGATTAGAACAGGATAATCATTGAAGAAAATCTCAAGAGAAATGGCTAAAATTAGCCAGAGATATGTGTCACTTTTCAACGATTTTCATTAACTGTCATGTAGGAATTAATCTAAAGATTACTTCATAAATCAAGCAAAGTAAAACTATTTGATATGAGATTTTTATTAGTGATAGTGGCAGCACTGAGCTGTCAAATGAAGAGTTCAATGCTATTCTATGTTGAAATATTCTTGTCTGAAGCAAGAAAAAATCTATATTGACCTTCTAGTTTCTCTACATGAAGGCCGATCAAGTTCTGATTAGTCTTTGCAATCAGAGTTCAACATACTCTATTTGTAAACAAACTATGAGACTAAAGGATTAAAGTTTAGATACATTTTACTTGGTAGTAGGACTTTTTGTGACTATTGTATTTTATATAAATTAAAACGATATAAATAATTTTTTTTAGAGTGATGATTTAATTCGAACAAATAATACATTACAACCACATGCAATTGATGCATTTTGGTTAGAACGTAATTTAAGCAAAATCTATCCGAATATTACAGATGCAAAAAACAAAGCTGAAGAACTTCTTGATATTCTTAAAACAACATCGAATAATCATGAATTAGAAAATAAACTTATTATGTTACTTGGTTGTGAACAATTTGAATTTATTAAAACATTACGAACACATCGACAAATGAGTAAGCTTATTCTCTTTTGTCTTTTTTTTAATAAATAATAAACATCTTTTCCTTTTTTTCTTTTTTAATAGTTCTTTATTGTATTCTACTTGCAAGAGCACAAACTACATTAGAAAAAACACATATTGAAGAAAAAATGAGAAATAATCCAGAATTAATATGGATATTGCATGATTTATCAACATTACAAATTAATCGTGATCAAGAAAACATGGAAATAGAAAATAATAATACAACACATCAAATTCTGGATTTTGAAGATTTAACATTTCATCAAGGAAATCATTTTATGTCAAATAAAACTTGTCAATTACCAAATGGATCTTTTCGTTTACAAAAGAAAGGTTATGAAGAAATACATATACCTTCTCTTAAACCTTCAAGATTTAATTCCGACGAAGTAAGTTAAATAAAAGTTTTTATAAAACATGATCTAAAAGGAGTTTTGAAGTATAGGAATGAAAATCTGATACTTTTTGATGATTTAAATAGTGCAACATATACTCCGACATATGTGCAATTTAATAGTATAAAAAAGTCTTTGCTCTTCTTGTTACTATTAGTCGGAAAACACAGAGAAAATCCTCGTCAAAAAATGTTGCTTATAAAAATTAGGAGTTTTTTTTTTTACTGTAAATTAAAGACATCCCTGAGAAAATTATATATAATCTGAAATTGTTTTTCAATCTTTCGATTCGAAAAAAAACCAATTTTCGCGTTTATTTGTTACAATCTTCTATAACTTCGAATCAAGCGAAACTTCAGTACTCTGAAGTACAAAATGAAATATAGTACTTCGGAGTGTTGAAGTCTCGCTTTTTTTTCCCTTTAATATCCAACCATAATATCAATATATCATTAGCGCATGAGTTCCAGAGCCGAGCTCAAGGCTTTCTAGAAAAGTCTCGAATTTTAATCTTGCAAAGATAGTGTTATTATTTTTCTAAACAAATTTTAGATTCTTTATCCAATATCAAATTTACCTAAATATGTTCAACCAGCATTTGAAGGCTATAAAGAATTAAATCGTATTCAATCACATATGATTAAAACAATATTTGAAACTGATGAAAATATTTTATTATGTGCACCGACTGTAAGTTACAAACAAAAACAAAAAAATTATTTTTTATATTAAACTTTTATTATAATTCTAGGGTGCTGGTAAAACAAATGTTGCATTACTTTGTATTCTACATGAAATAGGTAAACATATTATGTCTGATAATAGTATTAATACTAATGAATTTAAAATAATTTATATTGCACCAATGAAATCACTTATTCAAGAAATAGTTAATAGTTTTACAGAGGTAATTTTTTTTTTACAATTTTAATATTTAATATGAAAATTTTATTTTTTTGTTTTATTTAATATTCTTTTTCTAGCGTTTAAATTCCTATGGTATTAATGTATCAGAATTAACTGGTGATCATCAATTAACCAAAGAAGAAATAAATCAAACACAAATAATTATTTGTACACCAGAAAAATGGGATATTATAACACGTAAAGGTGATGAACGTATATATACACAATTAGTACATTTAATAATTATTGATGAAATACATCTATTACATGATGATCGTGGTCCTATACTTGAAGCAATTATTGCTCGAACAAATCATTTAATTAAAACAATAAAAAATCATGTACGTTTTGTTGGATTAAGTGCTACATTACCTAATTATGAAGATATAGCCGAATTTTTAAATGTAAAATCTACAGGTTTATTTTATTTTGATAATAGTTATCGACCTGTACCACTTGAACAAGAATATATTGGTATAACAGAAAAAAAAGCCATTAAACGTTTTCATATGATGAATGATCTTGTTTATGAAAAAGTCATGGAACATGCTGGAAAAAATCAAGTAAGAATTTTTATTAATCGATTTCTCTTTTAATTCATGTTGGTTTTTTTTTTTGTTAAGGTACTTATTTTTGTGCATTCAAGAAAAGAAACAGGACGAACAGCACGTACTCTACGTGATGGATGTATAGAAAAAAGTACCATTGGATGTTTTCTTAAAGCAGATTCAGTTTCACAAGAAACTTTACAAATGGCAATCGAATTAACTAAAGTTAGTATGAATGATTTTATTACTTGTTTAATTGTTATGAGAATCATAATTTTTTTTGTTTTCCTAGAAAACATTTCTAGAATAATAATTATTTCGAATGTTGAGAAAATTTGAAATAGAATCACAAGAACATGGTTAGTCGATTGTTTTTGAGTTGTAATCTGCCAGCTTATACATAGTACTTATTGTTTTTGATAGAATTTACTGAGTCATTATAATCGATTTGATTATAATATTTTTGGTAGCACATAACACAACTCGCTAACATTCTGTAAGTTTAAGAAAGCATAATCAATAAGGCACTATGATACATTATGTTATATTCTATAAGTTTTATATATTTTTCCTACATATCTCGATATTTAGCATCTTAAATAATCGTATGTATTTATTTGACATACTTTAAATCTTCAGAATTGTAGTTGTATTATAATGGATTAATGTGTAATATGTACTAGATGTTAGAGAGACTCAGTCTGAAGTTTATAATTCTTCTTTTTTTTTGTTTTGAAGATCAAAACAAGGAACAAAAAAAAACTTCAACTATCTAAATAACTAAGAAAAGTCAACTAACTATAAATTATAGATGTATTTATAATGTAGATGTAAAACAATAACAATGATTTTAATGATAAAATAAATATTTATCATACAATTATTATTTTCTATTTAAGAATTTGGAACTAAAAGATCTTCTTCCATATTCATTTGCTATTCATCATGCTGGTATGAGTCGTGCTGATCGAATTTTAGTTGAAGATCTTTTTCGTAAACGACATATTCAAGTACTTATATCAACAGCTACACTTGCTTGGGGTGTTAATTTACCTGCACATACAGTTATTATCAAAGGCACACAAGTTTATAATCCTGAAAAAGGTCGTTGGGCTGAATTAAGTGCACTTGATGTTATGCAAGTAAGTTGTTTGATAATATTAAATAAATTTGTTTTTTATTATTATTATTGAATTTTAGATGTTTGGTCGAGCTGGTCGTCCTCAATATGATAAAATTGGTCAAGGTATTTTAATAACTAATCATAATGAATTACAATATTATTTATCATTAATGAATCAACAAGTAAGTAAAAAAAAGAAAAACGAAAAAAAGAAAAAAACCAATTCATTTGTAATATTTTAGCTTCCAATTGAAAGTCAAATGATATCAAAATTAATCGATAATCTTAATGCTGAAATTGTTCTTGGAACTATTGAAAATATTCATGAAGCTGCTGAATGGCTTTGTTCTACTTATTTATATATACGTATGAAAAAACAACCTCAATTATATGGTGTATCAAATGAAACTCTACTTATTGATAATACTCTTCTTCAACGACGTTTAGATTTAATTCATTCTGCAGCAATACAATTAGATAAAAGTCATTTAATTCATTATGATCGTAGAACAGGTAAGTTTCAAATGACTGATCATGGTCGAATTGCAAGTTATTATTACTGTAGTCATGAAACAATTGCAATATATAATAAATTATTGAAACCAACATTAAATGATATTGAATTATTTCATATATTTTCATTATCACCAGAATTTCGTCATATAATTGTACGAGAAGAAGAAAAATATGAATTAAAAAAATTAATTGAACATGTACCAATACCTATTAAAGAAAATATTGATGAATCAAATACAAAAATAAATATACTTTTACAAGTTTATATATCTCAATTAAAACTTAATGGTTTAGTATTAATGGCTGATATGATTTATATAATACAGAATGCTGAAAGATTAATTCGAGTAATATTTGAAATTGTTTTAAAAAAACAATGGGCAAGATGTGTAGATAAAACATTAAATTTAGCAAAAATGATTAATAAACGAATGTAAGATAGATGATTTATGTTAAAAAAAAAGAGAAAACTTTTAAATTGAAAATTTTATTTTCTAGGTGGCAAAGTATGTGTCCATTAAGACAATTTAAAAAAATTTCAAATATAATTAATCAAACAATTGAAAAGAAAAATATTTCATGGGATAGATTCTATGATTTAGATGCAAATGAAATTGGTAAGAATATTTTATTTTATTTTAAACTATAAATAAACAAAATATTTTAGGTGAATTTCTTCGTGAACCTAAAATTGGACAAACAGTTTATAAGCATATACATTATATACCTAAATTAGAATTAACTGTACATATTTTACCAATTACACGATCAATGCTTAAAGTTGAATTAACAATAACACCTGATTTTCAATGGAATGAAACAATTCATGGAACAAGCGAGGTATATTCATATTTGATTGATAGAAAAAATATTTTAGGAATATGTTCTTTTTTTTTAGCCATTTTGGATTTTTGTCGAAGATGGTGATGCAGAAGTTTTACTTCATCATGAATATTTTCTTCTTAAAAAGTAAGTTTATTATTTATGAAAACGATTTTCCATTAGAAGTTCATTGAGTTGAAAATTTTTTACCTTTGAACATGAAATTCAGATCTAGTTTATTGTAATTTTTCCAATTCGAACTGAAAAATGCGAGATACTTTTTTTTTTGTCGATTATTTACATTGGGTAATCAAAAATCTCTAGACACATGGACTCGACTAAGTCCGAAATCGAGATATGTGTGAGATCAAGTTATTTTAGTTCCTTTCTAATGGTTTCAGTTTAGAGAAAACTATCCCAGAAATCATAAATTAGATTCAGCTCTTGTTTAAATTCATTTCATTCCCTTGATATTATACATAAAACTTAAATCTTTCGATTTTTGATTCATCACTTAAACTTATCTTTGATTGGAGTTTATATAAAATCTTTTTTGTTTTTTCGTTTTTCATTTAGAAAATATTGTAAAGATGAACATTATGTAAAATTTTTCGTTCCAATTTATGAAGCATTACCACCACAATATTTTATTCGTGTTGTATCTGATCGATGGTTATCATCAGAAACTCAAATAGCTGTATCATTTCGTCATTTAATCTTACCAGAAAAACAACTAGAATCAACTGAATTACTCGATTTACAACCATTACCTGTTAATGTATTAAATAATTCAAAATATGAAGAATTATATAATTTTAAAGTTTTTAATTGTATTCAAACACAAGGTAAAAAATGAATTGTTTGACATATTTTTTTTTTGAATTTACTTTTTTGTTTTTTTGTTTTAGTTTTTAATACATTATATCATACGGATGAAAATGTATTTTTGGGTGCATCAAATGGTTCTGGTAAAACAATATGTGCTGAATTTGCCATATTAAGATTATTTTCTGATGAAAAATTAAAAGAAATATCTGAACCTAAATGTGTTTATATAACACCAAAAGAAGAATTAGCAGAAATTATACGAGAAGATTGGGATAAACGTTTTGGAATAATTGATCGAAAAGTTGTTATGCTTTCTGGTGAAATATCTATCGATCTTAAATTAATTGCAAAAGTATGTTGGATATATAAAAATGAAAATTTTTGAATTCTTTGACTATTTTCAATTTAGGGTGATATTATTATTTCAACACCAGAAAAATGGGATAATTTATCACGTCGATGGAAACAACGAAAACATATTCAAAATATTCATTTATTTATTGTCGATGATCTACACTGTATCAACTCAGATGATGGAGTAAGTTTCATTAGTTAAACTAGAACATTTTGCAATGATGACTACAATTAACAATATATAAGGGATCTAAGAAAAAGACTAATGTCATAACCAAGAAGGATTGGGCTCTCCCACCGATTGTGAAGCCACGCTAGCTAAATTCTATCACAAGCCCTTCCCTCCCTGTCAAAATCCTGATTACACCACTAAAAAAGACGTTGCTATCTTATCTAGAGAACAATCAACAGAATTCTGATAGTATACAAAAGTGTCAACGGACAAAACGTCAATCTGTAGCAAATTCATATTTTTTAGTAGATAAAGTAATGCGATCGTTACAAGAGAAAACATATCTTCTAAATAATGAAACCTATTCTGATAATATTGTTTCTTCAGAATATGTCCATTTTTTACTAGTGTCCTACACGGGTAAGACTTTTTGCAATTGGAATTAATCGACATTCAATAGATACTTTCACAATTACAGTACGATTTTTAAACTTTTATTTTATCTAGAAAAAAAAAACTATACTATTTTGTTTCTTCCATAAACAGCAATAAAAGAAGCAAAGATCATCTCAAATTCCACAAAAAAGCAAGTGAATCAAGATTCACTTAGGTTTATTGTTGATAACGCTGGAATAGAACGTAGTGTTAGTATCAAATATCATAATTGTGATCGGTTTTTAATAATAATGAGATATTATTATTTACTTTTTATTTTATTAAAATAGCGACTATATATAACATGAAAAAAATACCTGCTCTTCTCAAGTCAAGCCGAAAGTATATTTCAAATTTATGATATCCTAGAATTTTACAGATAATGCACTAGTTTCGATTCTTTTTTTTATTAGAAGAAGAATATATTTTCTTGAATTATTGAATAATTTTCATTAATAATATCTTTTCTCTAGGCTATTCTTGAAATAATTTGTTCTCGTATGCGTTATATAAGTTCTCAACTAGAAAAAAAAATTCGTATAATTGCAATGTCAACATCAATACTTAATGCTAAAGATATTGCACAATGGCTTGGTTGTTCTACACATACAACCTTTAATTTTCGACCAAATATTCGACCTATTCAACTTGATTTACATATTCAAGTAAGTAAATCTAAAAAAAAAACAATTCTGCTTTCTTTTTTTAATGATAATTTATGTTTTCTTTAAAAAAAAATCAAGGATTTCAATATGACACATAATGCATCACGTTTAATTGCAATGACAAAACCAGTTTATCAAATAATTGATCGTCATTCATCAATATATCCAGTAATTATTTTTGTTTCATCAAAAAATTTATCACAATCAACAGCTATTGATATCTTAACATTAGCTAATACTGAACAAAAACAAAATCGATTTTTACATATTTCAATAAATGATATTCAATTATATATAGAACAAATTGAAAATCAAATATTAAAACAAACTATTTTACATGGTATTGCTTTTTTACATGAAGATTTAAATACAAAAGATTGTTCTCTAATTCAACAATTATTTACATCTGGTGCTATACAAATTTGTATTGTATCATATAATATGTTATATACATTAAAAATTTATTCATATTTGGTTATTATTATGGATACACAATATTATTATGGTAAAATACATACATATGATGATTATTCAATAAATGATATTTTACAAATGATAAGTCGATCGAATATTTCATTAAAAGAAAATAAAACAAAAGTTATATTAATGTGTTTATCATGTAAAAAAGATTTTTATAAAAAATTTCTTTATGAATCAATACCTATTGAATCTCATCTTGATCATTATTTACATGATTGTTTTAATGCTGAAATTGTTACAAAAACTATTGAAAATAAACAAGATGCTATTGATTATTTAACATGGACATTACTTTATAGACGTATGACATTAAATCCAAATTATTATAATTTACAAAATATTTCACATCAATATTTATCTGATCATTTATCGGAATTAGTTGAAAATACATTATATAATCTCGAACAATCAAAGGTAAATAAAAGCAAAATTTCAAAAAAAAAGAAAAATCGATTTTCTAGAGATCCTAAAGAAAGATTTGTACCGTTTGAAACTGGTTTTTGAATTTCTGACTCAATGATAAGAGCAATTTTTTGTTTGTACATTCGTATTCAATATCGTCGCCAACGAATGATTTTGTCCATATATTGATTCTTCTTTTTATTTTTTTTTATAGTGTATTACAATTGAAAATGAAGTAGATGTGTCACCACAGAATCTTGGAATGATTGCAGCTTATTATTATATTAATTATCGAACAATTGGTGAGTAATGTACAAGAATAAAAATTCTAAATAATACATCATCTAATTTCTTTGTTTTAGAATTATTTAATAAATCATTATCATCAAAAATTAAATTTCATACGTTACTTGATATTATTTCCAATGCTGCTGAATATGAAGATATTCCAATTCGTCGTAATGAAGAGAATATTTTAAAACAGGTTTGACATTATTTCAAAAACTTTTTTTTTTTTAATGGTTGTTTTTTTTTATTTATTTTCTTAGCTTTCAACACATTTACCAAATAAATTAAATAATGATGTTAAATTTAATGATCCACATGTGAAAACTAATCTTTTACTTCAAGCACATTTATCACGTATACAATTGTCATATGAACTTCAAAAAGATACCAATGAAATTTTAATCAAAGTAAAACAAAAGAAATTTTTTTCTTTTTCTCTATTTCATTTTTTTTTTGTCTCATAGGCTATTCGTTTGATTCAAGCATGTGTTGATGTTTTAAGTTCTAATGGTTGGTCATCATCAGCATTAATAGCTATGAATTTAACACAAATGATTATACAAGCTATGTGGAATAAAGATTCTTATTTAAAACAAATACCACATTTTACAAATGAAATTATTCAACGATGTATTAATCAGGTTTATATTTAATTATTATTTTTTTATTTTATTTTTTATTTTAAACTATTTTTCTTTATTTTATAGAAGATCGAAAATATTTATGATTTAATTGAAATGCAAGATAATCAACGCATAGAATTACTTCAATTAAATACATTACAATTATCTAATGTTGCTCATTTTTGTAATCATTATCCAAATATTGAAGTATCATATGAAATTCCTAATAAAGATAATATCATTGCTGATAGTTTAATTAATGTAAATGTAACATTAGAACGTCTTAATGAACTCTTTGGATCAATTATGGCACCATTATTTCCACAAAAACGTCAAGAAGAATGGTGGTTAGTTATTGAAGATTCAAAAACAAATACTCTATTATCAATAAAACGTTTTACAATACAAGAAAAAACTAAAATTGTTTTAGATTTTATTGCACCATCAACAGGTATATATAATTATATACTTTATCTAATGTCTGATTGTTATATGGGTTGTGATCATGAATATAAATTTTCAATTACTGTTCGAAATAATATTAATATGACATCATGATATTATTTTATTGTAAATTTTTTAAACAAGAAAAATAATAAAAATAAATATATGTTTTGATTCTTTCTAATTTTATTTGTTTTGTTTTTTACTTTTTGTTTATTTTAGAATTTTTATTTTCTCATTTGAGTTATAAAAAGAAACAAAAAAAAAGAAAGCAGACAACAAAATTTCTCTAGCCAATATGATCAATGATGATGGTGATAATTGTTAGAAATGGATGAAACATTAAAAGAACTATTTGAAGCTTGTCGGAATGGAGATTTAACTAAAGTTAAAAAATTACTTACACCAGATAATATTAATGCACAAGATATACTCGGAAGAAAATCGACACCTCTTCATTTTAGTTCTGGTAAGAATAAAAAATACATAAGATATACTATTCATGACAAATACTTGTTAAACTAGTTCGAGAAAAAAAATAAAGAAAAAGTGTTAATATAATATTTCGAATGGTTAAATTTAAAGTCTCACCTCCTTTCTCACTCAAAAATCGATTGACAATACAATGCATGAGGTTTTTATGAAATTGCTTGAAAAAATTCGGTTAATGAAAGTACATGAATAGCTCTAAACATTAATATTAAGGAGACTTGCAGGGAACAAAGTGACGGAAGGATCCGCTGCTCGATGATTAGGATAATGTATAATAGAAATTTTTTATTTGTATTTTCTTTGCTTCTTAAATAATATGATATTGTAGGATTCGGTCGTAAGGATGTAGTCGAATATCTTTTAAATCAAAATGCTAATGTTCATATGAAAGATGATGGAGGTCTAATTCCATTACATAATGCAGCAAGTTTTGGTCATGCTGAAGTTGTTCAATTACTTCTTAATTATCATTCGGATGTAAATGCATTAGATAATTGGAATTATAGTCCACTTGCTGAAGCAGCTAGTAAAGGAAAAGTTGATGTTTGTCTTAGTAAGTATTATTTTTTCTTGATATATTAGTATATTAAATTGATAAATTTATAAAATATAGTTCTTTTACAACATGGTGCAGATTCAAATATAAAAAATAGTGATGGAAAAACTGCACTTGATCTTGCTGATTCATCAACTCGACCAGTGTTAACTGGTAAAATCGTATTTTTAATTGATTTGATCATAGTAAATTATTTGTTTTAATAATAGGTGAATATCGAAAAGATGAATTACTTGAAGCAGCTCGATCGGGTAATGAAGAAAAACTATTAAATTTATTAACATTAGCTAATGTTAATTGTCATGCAAGTGATGGAAGAAAAGTATGTTAAAATTTTTCATTTAAATATAGACTAAAAAGAAATATAAATCATTTCAATTATCTTTTCTAGTCAACTCCATTACATCTAGCTGGTATTTTAAAAAACAAAAAATTTTGATTTATCTCATTTTTTCTATTTATAGCTGGTTACAATCGATTAACAATTTGTAAAATATTACTTGAACATGGTGCTGATGTTCTATGCAAAGATAAAGGTGGACTTGTAAGTTATCAGATATTTTTTCAAATAACATCATAATCACTCGTCACAGAGTCTAGATAGTTTTCTTGTCCGAAAGCAAAATCAATGATCAGAAGTGTATTTAAATCAATTTGTCTTATAGTCGACTTGCGAAATTTTTAAGCACATTATGTGTGGGTATAATTACACGCTTAATGAAGTTTTTCTTATAATATCTAATATTTTGTTCCTATCAAACATGTTCTTAAAACTTTTCAGCCTTCAATTAATATTTTGAACGAAATATTTTTACACACAAGAAGGCTTTATTCTTTCTAACAAAAGATCTGTCAAGTCTCGATGACGAGTTGTTGTTACGTTATACTGAAAAGAAAATTAATGCAAAACTTTTGCATCATCCGTTATTTTGATAAATTTAAAATACATTTATTTAGGTTCCATTACATAATGCTGCTTCATATGGACGTAAGTGATATTCAATCTATCTTATTTTCATTCATCATTTGCCTTGTCTAGATTACGAAGTTGCTGAGCTCTTGATTAAAGTAAGACTTTCTTATTTTTATTTGAAATTTAAACATGATCATACATTTAATAGCATGGTGCTCAAGTAAATACTTGTGATCTATGGCAATATACACCTATTCATGAAGCTGCTTCAAAATCTCGTATTGATGTTTGTACTCTTTTATTAAGTCATGGAGCTGATCCAACATTAACAAATTGTCATGGTAAAGCAGTATTAGATGTTGCTGCTAGTCGTGAATTACGAGATAGAATTTTATGTATGTTCAAAATTAATAATAATATTATTATTATTATGTTTGTTTTTTTTTTGATAATAATTAATCTTTTAGCTGAATATCATGGATATTCATTTCTTGATGCAATACATAATGGAGATACTAGTCGAGTTAAAAAATTTTTATCTAATGAAACAATTAATTTTCGACATTTTAAAACAGGAGATTCACCATTAGTAAGTTCTATGATTAATAAAAATAAGAAATAAATCTATTGATCTCTAGCATATCTCTTGTACATCATCATTGGCAAAACATCGTCGACAAATTTTTGAAATGTTAATTCGGCGTGGTGCTCTTGTTAACGTTTTAAATACAGCGTAAAAGAATTTTAGAATATAGTAGTTTCTCATTTCTCATATCTTGGCTACTATACATGCTAGAAGTCTGAAAATTTATGTGTACATACTGTACTTCGAATTCGGTACTGAAACATGAGATTGATGAAGGACACCTATCTTTGCTTCAAATCTTTATATAGATCTCCAGCATGTATATTAGTCGAGATATGAAGAGTGAAAAACTTTTGTTCTTTACTGTAATTTTTGTTTTTATATTAGACAAATGGCTCCTATTCATATATGTGCTGAAGCTGATCATAGTGATCTTTTAGAAATTTTATTAAAACATAATGCTGATGTAAATATATTAATCTTCGAAGTTTATTATTGTAAATAAATCTTTGAAAATTTATAGATTAATTTACTTGATGGTCAAGGACAAACAGCATTACATCATGCAGTTAAAAATGGACATTTAAATGTTTGTCGATTTTTAATTACACATAAAATTGATACTTCAATTGTATCATCCTATGAACAAACAGCATTAGATATAACTTCAGCATCGAATATTCAACAATTATTAATGAGTAAGTATTGAGAAAAAAGAAATTTTATTTTAATGATATTTTAATTCAATGATTAGCTTATGAAAATGAAAAAGTTATATTAACACCAAATATAACTGATCTTCAATTACAATTACTTGAAGCATCAAAATCGGGTGATCTTGATGTTGTTAAGGTTTATTATTTAATTTCATATGAAATTTTTTTTCTTTATTCAAATTTTTTTGTTTTTTGTATATTAAGCGTGTACTTACTTTCAATCCATCATTAGTTAATTGTCGTGATGTTCAAGGTAGAAATAGTACTCCACTTCATTTTGCTGCCGGATATAATCGTTTACAAGTTGTTGAATATTTATTAGCCATGGGTGCTGAGGTAACAGCAAGAGATAAAGGTAATAAAATCAAAATCATTTTTTTGTTTTTTAATAAAAATCATTTCACTTATTTTTTTTTTTCTATATTGGCAGGTGGTCTTGTTCCTTTACATAATAGGTATAATAGAAAAGTTGATTTTATTAGATTTATGTATATCTTTGTTTTTTTTCTTCTAGTTGTAGTTATGGTCATCTTGAAGTTACAGCACTTTTACTTAATAATGGTGCATCATCTCAAATAACTGATCTATGGAAAGTAACACCATTACATGAAAGTGCAGCTAAAGGAAAATTTGAAATATGTAAATTACTTATTAAATATGGTGCTGATTTAAATAAAAAAAATCGTGATGGTGCTATACCACTCGATTTAGTTAAAGAACGTGATAGTGATGTAGCTGATTTACTTCGTGGTGATAGTGCTATTTTAGAATTAGCTAAAAAAGGAAATTTAGAACGATTAAGAAAATTATTAACACCAGAAAATGTTAATTGTCGTGATCCATTAGGACGAAATAGTACACCATTACATTTAGCTGGTAAATAAATATAAATCTTCTTTTGTTTTTTTTTGTTTTTTTTTTTGTTCTTTAAATTTTTTAATTCTTTTTTTCTTAGCTGGATATAATCATTATGAAATAGCACAATTTTTATTGGAAAATGGTAGTAATCCTAATGCTGTGGATAAAGGTGGATTAATAGGTAATTTAGATATTTAATTTCTAGAATTAAGTCTATCTCCTAAGAGTCGGTTGGGTTCAAAATTTTTGAGCCTGGTCAAACCGAACTTTGATATTCTCAATGAAGTTTTCTAAACGGAATCGAAGAATCGCCCCGAAGATACGAAGTAGTTGTTTCTATTTTTTTTTGTATTCGATGAGTAGCGCACGACGGATTAGGATCCAGGACCAAGTCGAGAGACTTAACTGTCCCATTCAAAAGTCGATCTTGGATCAGTTATATTCAAATCCCATGAACTATTCAACAAACAAGGCTCAAACAAGTTTAACTACAACACATTTTTCTTTTTTTTAATAATGTTAAGTAATTAGCACAAATTCAGGTAATGGTTTTAATAGCCAATGGAGTTGTTCATATAATGTATTCGTTAACAAAATTTCATGGATGAACTATGATAGTGAGGTTTCTAAAAAGCCAAGCGCGGTAGTTTTCAAGTCTTAGAAAAAATTAGTCTTCTAAGACCTGAAAAGCACCGTGTCTGATTTCTTAGAAACCTTGCTATCATACATAGTTCATCTAGAAAATGTTGACATAAAACGTATCAGATAAAAAAATTTCATTGACTATTAAAATCACTATCTGAATTTGAATTAGGTGCTTAGCATTATAAAAAGAAGGTTGATAAGAGGTTGTTGTTAAACTTTTTTCTGCCATAGTAATTCATTTGGCAACCTGGAGTTCTCTGTGGACATTCATTTTATATACTTAATTTATTTTTGTTTGACAGAGCATGTCAGACTGTAGGGCATGAGAGAATCTTTTCTTTTTCTTACTTGTTATGTAGAGAAAAAGGAAAATAAGTTCAATACCTCGAAAACCTCTTAAAAGAATGGTCAACTATATATAAAAGTGTTTTTCTTTTTATCAAAGAATACAAAAATTTAATTCAAAAAATAGACACTACAGCTTCGCATGCTCTTTTAAATAAAACAAGCAATCGGTTATAATGAAACTTCTTCGAGAATTCTAGTATGTGCGATCAGAAAAGCATAAACAGAGAAAAAATCATCCCACTTTTTCTGGAAAATGACGAAAACTATCTAAATTGGCAAAAAATGAGGTGCCAAACCAAAAAAATCATGTCGTTTTTGAAAGATCAGACGTCAATCTCTCTTCTCATACATTTATATCAATTTTCATTTTTCTTTTTTTTAACGAAAATTGATTTCTTTGAGAGACAAGAAATCTTAATTTATTATTTTGTTTTTCTTAGCTCTTCATAATGCATCTTCATTTGGTCATGTTGATGTTGCTACTTTATTAATTAATTATCATTCCGATGTTAATGCACATGATAATTGGTCGTATACACCTTTACATGAAGCAGCATCTAAAGGTCGTACTCAATTATGTTCTTTATTACTTGCTCATGGTGCAAATCCACATCTTCGAAATCAAGATAATCAAACTCCATTAGATTTAGCTAATGCTGATGATGTTAAATCATTACTATTAGATGCAATGTCAACTTCAATATCTCCAACATCACCAACTGGTAATCGTTATCGAACAACATTAACACTTGCAACTCGTGAAACAACATCAATACTTGGTGCAGAAAATAATAATAATAATTATAATAATAGTTCAAGACAACGTTCATCATCTGCATCAAGTTTACAACAATCAACTATTCAACGTCATTTACCTAGCGGTGATGGTAGTATGAGTTTAATAACAGATGATGAACGTCGAGAACAAGCACTTCATATGACAATGGATGAATTTTTAAGTTTATGTCAATTTCAATCAAGTCAACAACAAGATTCATTAAGAGATTTATTTGAACGTGAACATATAACACTTGATATACTTGCTGAAATGACACATAATGATTTAAAAGATATTGGTATTGTTGCTTATGGTGAACGACATAAATTACTTAAAGGTATTGAACGATTATATAAACAAGCAAAAGATCCATGGTCAAATATACCTGATAGAGGATCAGTTTTTATTGAACTTGATTCAAATGATCAAGAATATCGACTTGTTGAAGATGAAGTAATTTTAAAAGTCTTAACATAAAAATTTAAGTTTATACATTTTTCTTTTTTCTATTGTAGTTACAAAGTACTATTCGTGAACATAAAGATAATTGTGGTGGAATATTTACTCGTTATGTAGTATTAAAAGTAATCGGGATTTTTTATGTTTCTTATTTTGTAAAACACAATCTAAAAGGAGTATTGAAGAATAAGAGTAAAAAAATTTTAACAACAACTAATTTTTTATTATATTTTTTCTATAATTTTAAATACATAGCTTAAATCTAGATAGTGATTTTAATAGCTAATGAAGTTTTCTTTTATTAAGACTTCATAAATGAACTATAATGACAAGATCTCTAAAAAAAACTGGACATGATAGTTTTCAGATCACAGAAGACTATTTTTTTAACAATGCTATTTTAAAGAACATAACATTCTGAAGAAAATAAGAGGTTGATGCAGTTTTTACGGGCTTCCTTTAAAAAGTTAAAAGTATCACAAAACTGAAAAAAAAGACATTTTTAAGTGATTTTTTTCATAAGTTTCGACTTTTTTACGGTTTTTGTGATAACTTTTAACTTTTTAAGAGAAAGAATGGCGAGAATTTCGTCAGTATAATTTTTGCCAACAGGATATTTTTCAAGTGGCGAATGTCCATGTACTTTCGACAACGTGAGAGTAAATTAAATGTAGATGAAAAAATTCCTATCGACTATACTAGCAAGTTTAGGCTATGATCTCTATATATATTCTAACAACATTAGCTTCACTCCTCACATGTATCCTATATTAATATTGTTTCGTGACAGCTAGTGGAAGTACAAAGGACTTTCGCTGTTGGCAAATATTCTACTGACGAAAGTCTTATTGGCAAAGTTCTGGAACCCCAAGAGAAAGTTATACAGTATGTAATAATTTCGCATTTTGTTCAGAACTTTGTGCTCTTTAAAATAGCAGTGTTAAAAAAAATAGTCTTCTGGAATCTGAAAATTTCCGTGCCTGTTTTTTAGAAACTTTGCTATTATAGTTTATTTATGAAACCTTGGTAAAAGAAAACTCTATTGGCTATTAAAATTATTATCTGGATTTGTGCGAATTGCTTAATATTATCGAAAACAAGTCAAAAATACGTTGTTACTAAAATTTTTTTCCACTGTCTTACGATCACAGACCGTATGTCAATAACGTCTCGTTATTGATATATGAACTACTTTCTTATTGTATTTCTGGAGGATGAAGTACATGGATGGTGAAAATATGTCTCCCAAATTAGATAGAATAAAATAATCTCTTTGTAATTAGCGACAGCAACTGCATCGTGTTTCACATTTTAATTTCGTAGAGATTATACTAACATCTTTAACATTTTATTTTAAATTAGATTGAAAAAATTCGTAATCGACGTTTATGGGATCGTTATTGTCATCGTCGAAATGAAATTCAAGATGATAATAATGGTCATGAAAATGAACGTTTACTTTTTCATGGTTCACCATTTCTTCATTCAATTATGCATAAAGGTTTTGATGAAAGACATGCATCTATAACTGGCATGTTTGGTTAGTTCAAATATTTCTATTTTATGTCTTTCAATGACAGAGATATTTGTTGTTTTATTTTATAGGTGCTGGAATTTATTTTGCAGAAAATTCTTCAAAATCAAATCAATATGTGTATGGTATTGGTGGTGGAAATGGGTGTATATTACATAAAGATAAATCATGTTATCTATGTTCAAGGTAAAATAAACTTGAAATTTTTCATTTTAATTTTTCATTTAAATAAAAATTTTTAAGACAAATGTTATTATGCCGTGTTTGTCTTGGACGATCGTTTTTGCAATTTAGTGCATCAAAATTAGCTCATGCACCACCTGGTCATCATTCCGTTATAGGTCGACCAACACAAGGTGGCCTGGCTTATCCCGAATATGTTATTTATCGTGGTGAACAAGCTTATCCAGAATATTGTATTACATATAATCTTTTAAATCCAGTGAACAACGACAATGAATAAATAATTTTTTTTTTCAATATTGTATAAAGACAAAATTTGACATATACCGGGTGGCCCAAAAGTAAGGAAACAAAAAGGATATGCTATAATAATGTATAATAAATTGTTAATGATATTTTTCATACCTTATATTGATGTAGAGAGCTCAAATTTTTATCACATATATATCTAGTTAAGATCTTTTATGTCTGAAAGTTTCAGCTTTCCACATCAATAAAAAGTGTAAAAAAGATCATTAACAATCTATTATCCATTATTATAGCATATCCTTTTTGTTTCCTAACTTTTGGGCCACCCGGTATATATGCATAGAAAGGAAGGGGCGATGTTTTCTTTTTCGAATAAATTTAGTTGTTTCACTTTTATGTTAAAGTGAATATTAATGTTCATTTGGAATTCCAAAACTCACCACTGTTGGTTGTTGCTCTTGATCATTACGTTGTAACGATTCGAATTCTGTTTGTTGAAGAGGTGATGCTGGTAGAGTAACAAGAGTTTGAAGAATATTATATGGTTGCATGTCACGGGTTGGTGTTGGCGGTGTTGAACTAGTACGCCATTTTTGTAAAGTACTTTCCAGTTCCATTAATGCTATTTTAATTCCAGCTTTAAATTGACGTTTACGTAATGAATAAATAACATGCGAACAGGCAAGAATTATGAAAACAAGGATATACAATGTAAGAATAAGAAGATGAGTACGATATGCACTAAAATTAACACAAGCTGTTATTGGTGTTGTATTATTTTTATTCTTGTATTTTTTATCATGATATGATGGTTGTCCTAATTGTTCCGAACATATTATAGCACATACTCTATAATGTCCTTCATCTAAATGTTTTAATTCAAGTGAATTTCTCCAAAAAGTTAAATTTTGTTCTGGCATAAGATATGGATGTTCACGATTACGACGAATTGTAAATTTATACATTTGACATGTTCGTTGATAAGTTTCTCGAGCTATTTCAAATAATACAGTAGCTGTACGAGAATCATGTATACGAGCACGAAGATAAAATGGACGTTCAACTATAATGTCTTTACTACTTCCTAATATTATTTGAGTAGAATATGTAAGTATAAAAATAATAGATAACATAACCATTATTCGATTGTTTGTGTTTTTCTTTACGATATCGACAGATAAACAACTAAAAGACAAGTAACGATTCTATCTTTGCTAGGATAAACAAAGTGTACATTTCCCCAATACAAGCAAATAATTGATGATTTCTGTTTCCCCATCTTGAGTTATTTTTGTTCTATGCTATTCGCTATATTTTTATTCCTGTTAACGTATACCATAAAGAATAATAAATAGAAAAATAAAAAAAAGATATATAGAAAATGACCCAAAATTCGCTTTACTGAAAACAAAAAAAAAATATTTCCATATTACTACTTTATTTTGACCCAAAGACTTAATTTTTTTTTTCGACCATTGATAAAGTAATATTCATAGTTCATATTCATAAGAAATAATATTTAAGTAAAAAAAAAAAGAAAATTTCTTTGAAGTAATATCCTTGACCTTGGTTGAGAACTATACTGTTAGGCTAATAATGAAAGATATTATCGCAGTTTTTCTAATAATATCTCGTTGTTTATGACTGAAACTTTCTAAGTATATAAAATAACAAGAGATATAACCTTGTGCTATCTATTTAAGATAGAATGATAAAAGTATAAGCAAATAATACTAATAATAAATTAGATATACTATTTATTTTTTACATAAAGGAATAATTAATTTGTATAGCTTGTCGATAATCACAATTCTTTATTGAACTCAAAATTTACATTTTCAAAACAGGATTTTCTATGTTTATTATATGAATATGAACTATATATACTCGTTTATCAATGATGGAAAAAAAATAAATAAATCCATTTAATTGAATTACAATGATGATATTTTAGGTTTTTTTTTGTTCAGTAAAGTGTCTTATGAACCATTTGATACATAATTATTAAAACAATTTGTATTTTTTTTAAAGTTTATAATATTATTGTTTTGATGATTGGGTTCGTTCAATTGTTTTCGTTTTATTAGCCAATTGATGCTTATCTTTTTCTTCTAATAATTTAGCTTGTTTAAAACTATTTGTCTGATGAATTGCATCTAATTCTGATGGTGTTAATGAACCACGATGAGCCGGATCATTTGTAAAACCTGAATCAATACCAGCATTTATGCTGGAACTACGTCCATCCATAGTAAGACTGGGATGACGATCACATGGAGCTTTGGTCGACATAATAGTGCATAAAATTTAATAAACAAAATAATAATTGTAATAACAAATTATGGTTTTGTATCGAAGCTTGTAATTCTAATTCTTCAAGTTTCAAGAAAAATGAAAAAATATGCGTAGAATAATGATGTAAAGAAATATTACGGCGTGATCTCGACGAATATGAAAAACGCACTCATCTTATGTACTTTATTGATGTTCTTGTCTTTCCTCTCCACAAACATTTTTTTCTCTCTATGCAGCTGACAACGTCCACGTCCACACATTCACCGGCTGATGATGTTGACAGCAAGAAAAAAAAACCCAAGAACAATAAAATAAGAACGAGCGAGCTTTCTTTTTTTTTCATTGGACGCACATTCGCGACGTGCAACTGATGTTTTATCGTTCTCCAGGGTTTATCATAGTATGACTGGCAACTAAAAAGAAAATGTTACAGATATATTAAAGGGTACGATGTAAAGAATGACGTATGAAGAAATATTAACGAATAATCGAGAAAAAAAACAAATTTTGTTTTGATTTTATAACATATCCTTGGTATAATATTACAATCAAACAAAGGTTACAATTAAAAATAATACGCAGTTCAAATATATATTTTTAGCATTACAAAAAAGATACAATAACCAGTTTATTTGTATGTAATTGAAGACTATCATATCAATATGCTTTGATTAATATTATTTTTGATTTCTGTAGAAAGAATATTTACAAGCAATTGTCCTTGTCACGTTGGATATATTTTTTTTTCGACACAAAAAGAAAGATAACAAGGACGAATTTTCTATCATGATAGAATAGGGCATTGAGGACTCGAACTTGTTGACTCCAACTTTGAGAAGCCCCGAAAATGTTTTTTTGATTCGCATACTTACTTCTTTCTTTATGGTATTCGTTAATGAGGATGTTTTGCTAATGTTTTCTTTTTTCTTGAAATTTATTTATGAATCTATAAAGTAGTGTATTTTTTTTAATATGATGAATAAATTTGTTACTCAGTAAGAGTAAAAATATTTGGCTGTTTTATATTGATGTAACTCCGACTTCAGAAAACAAATCCTTTTGATGACAGAATCGAAGTCCGATTCAGAGTTCTAATCATTATCATTTTGCTTGTGTGAACTATGAATAGAGATAAATTTGTTAAAATATCATTGTAGTTTCTTAATTTCTGAATTAATTCAAATGGCTAACGTAAAATTACTGATAAATAAATATGAAGATTTATATGCGTGTGATAATATTATTAATGTATTCAGAAGTTATGACTAGTTATTACTAATGTTTTGTTCCATCTGTTTCGATTAATTAAAAAATATTTATCAAAAAAAAATTCTTCGTTTTTGTATTCAATAATAATACAACAGCTGATGTTTTATATATATTTATTTTTCATAGGTATTGTAATCATCTATAATCATATCTTGGTGTTTGAGAACTTTATCTATTTGTGATAGTATCAAAAAGAAAATTTTTTACTTGTATTATCTTGTCCGGAAAGTTCATGCAACTGATATACTATGAAATCTTAGGTTAACAAGTACTCCATTTATTCAAGCTAATGGCCTTCGCTAGCGATCCTACATTGTCAACGAGTTATGTGTGGCTATGAGCAAAGGTCATTGCATTGGTTAAATGCAGCACTAGTTATCCTAAGGCTTCATAGTATATGAGTTGCACGGACTTTCCGGACAAGGTAATACAATCTTTTTCTATCACAACCAAAGCAAATCATCTAATATAATCTGTTCGCTAAATAAAATCGAATATTTTAAGCCAGAAGCCATCAATCTTTTTACTATGATTAGATCGTGTAAATTTGAAATATCAATCTATAAGCCATCTATCCTTTTTTTATGAAAAATTGACAATAAATGTCTTAGATCTGTCGCTTAACACGTAGGAACGATAAGTAGACATGAATTTATTAGGTTATTAAAATATATCAGAACTTCGCTTGTTTGTCCTGAATCATAGGTCAATGGTAGTATAATTCTGTAGCTTACATTTTATACTTTAAGGACAAAAGAGCCCAACCTATTCGATTACATTGCATTTTCTTTCATTCTCCATCAAAGTTATGATTTTTTTAAAGTTTCTTCGATCATAATACTATCTAAATAGCTTAGTTATCAAATTGAGCTTCTTATTATGTTGTACTACTGTAAAAATCAATTATTCATACAATGCCGAGAAAAGATTATTTTAACGTTATCTTATAATATATTAGTTAATTGTTTGAACTTTATATTTATGGGAACTATTTCTACATCAGATCACCTTTCAATAAAATTGTCAAGTTAATCAATGAATGGATTCATAATAAAATATAATTGTAAATTAAATTTTTTTCGGCAAATTTTAAGGATAAAGAAATACATTAAGAATAAATAAACATTATTTGCCAAACATTTGTTTCTGTAAAATAAACTAAAACCAGCGAGTGAGATGCTACTCTTAACGGTGAAAGCGAAAAGTGGTCAAGAAATTCATAATCAAAGAATAAAAGCTTCAACCCAGCCAAATAAGCTAAACCAATACAAAAGAAAAGGTGGAACATGCTATTAGCAAACTGCAAATCACTACAACGAAGTATATGATGTTCTAATAAGTGCAATGTATGAAATAGAATTTCTTTCCAAAATTAAGATTGTTATATCCACAGATTTTCACGAAATTATATGAAAAAAATTAATTCTAATAGGAAAATGAAACTAAGAATAATCTCCGATGCAAAAGTCATCGCTGAAATTTCAACTTATGGCTTTCCGCCCAGAAACATCATAGAGAGTTCAATTTTTTTTTAATGTGGAAAGGACAAAGTCTGAGCTTCAAAAAGCATAGGAAAAAATTTTTTTCAAAGTAATTTTGAATGAGAAAAAAGATCGAGCAACTTTTGCTCTTTTCAAATGTATCTCTTTCATCAAGTCTATTTGTTTTCCTATCACAGGTTACAATTTAAAATTATACACTTATTACAGAAAATAGAAGTATTTTTATCACTTTTTCAAATTGAATATGATAAATTATGTTTTAATTTTTTACTTAACGATTAAAACGCTTTACAAGTTTTCCATTGATTTGAAAAAATAAGTCATCTGACTTAAGCAATAGTTTCCAGATATTGAATGAATTTTCTTCCGCTTTCTAAAATATATTTTCCGAAACAGCATGAAATTCTCTACAAATTCAAATTAATTAATTATAACATTTACTAACATATTTAAGCTCTGAATAATGAATTTTTCTCCATATTCTATCTGTCTTATGCAAAGTAGTGCTTTCTATCAAAACAAAGACATTTTATTTACTGTTAAAGAATTCCTAAGAAACTTTCTAGGGTATGAAAGTCGGTAAAGTTTTGTACGGATTACTGTTTCATTTACTTGGTTTTCAAGAAAAAAGTTTTCTTCAGACTCGAGAAAAATATAAAGAAAACAATATGTTGTAAGAGCTCTTTCAAAGACATTTGATATATCGAACTATTGTCTCAATCAAAATTAATCCCAGAACATTTTTTTTTGTATGCGTTTTAAAGTTCAGACTATTTTCTTTCAACGGTGTTCCTAACACAGGTTGAAACAGGGTGGGACTTCAGGTTGGGGACTATTTTTGTCAGGACAAGAAAAGGCTATTTAGCATGTCGCATACACTGAATACCATGCAATTGGACAGCTGTCAAAAGAGAGTTTTCGACAGCAGGTGAAGTTGTCAACCAAAGCAGGTATAATTTATGTCCAACAACTGTTAGTAATATTTCGTTTCTTCGTTCGATTGAGAATAGCAAAGCAAAACATTAATTGATCTCAAGCTATGTTGTTTTTCTGTTCTTGTGTCAACTTCTTGCAATATGCAGTCAAATAAATCATATGATTCAAATATACAAACATCTTATAAAGACGTGACGAGGCAGCGAAGAAAAAATTATGGTTGGGTCGGGGCGGGACGAAGCCAGAAACAAAACGTCTACATGATACTACCACAAACAATTAGAAGGACTACAGATAATTTATGAACTCACATCCTGTTATTTTTCATACAGCTGAAAGTTTTTGTTCGTTTATTATAAATTTCTCGACTATTTTTCATATCGACGGATTTTCGTAGATTCCTCTTAAAGTAGTAATCTACGTAAAATGACTGTTATGGTCATCACTTGAGTTCAAATAAAGAGATTATTATCTCAAAGTAAACGCGATATTTTATTCATAATTTTAATAGATAGCTAATAAATCATCGTGCTTCTGTTAATGCTTGTGATTAGATCTTTTTTTGAAAGCTCATAAAAAAATGAATTTTATAGTTTTCTAACGCCCATTGATCAAGATTTCACAAATACAACATTTGATTTCAATGCAATATACAAGGTTTGTAAGCATCATGAAATCAAAGTTTTAATCGTATTTTATCATTTATTTTTCTTGCGAAATTTTTGCTATAATTAGAAAATTTTGTACATGCAAATGTAATAAAGAATAGGATTGTATAATACAAGAAAGAAATGTATTAAGTAGAGTAGAATACTAAAGTCCAACTTTATAGAACTTCTCTTTGGTGAAATGATGCATTGTGATGATAAAAATAAAGTTGTTGCCCTTATGTATATCATCTTTTGGCAAGAATAAAAAACAAAAGATTAGCCCTTTGTTTTTTTTCCTCTTGAATAACAAAACATGGTAAATATTTGATAAAAAGTGCTGCATATAGTCATGAGTGTCAATCTTATCTTAGGACAAAAGAGTGCATATTCTCATAAATATTAAGATCTTTTAGTCTGTTAATGTTTACGTTATCTTGATTTATTACTTTCGAAATGTTTGTAATCGTCATTTAAACTTTAACTACGTCTTCGATCAGTCATCTGATCACGCTTTCTTGAGTATAGCTGACAGTTATATTAAATTATAGCTCGACTTATAGATATTGTGCCTCATTGTATTGTATACGGCTGTAGGGAATGGTGTTCATCTAAAAAACAATTCCAAAAACAAATGCACAAG